GAGCAGGGACACAAAGCATCTTTGTCTAAACTGCAGTTTGTGCAAACTGTAGTGAGCTAGGGTCGGTTAGCTTCAGTTAGCTTAGGAGCCCCACTACAATCAATATTTAATAACGGGTTCTCTCTTTTTCGAGCTACTTGACAGATATGCGACAGAGGTACTGTGTTGGAGATGGTCTAATCAGTGACATGAGACGTTAATTTTCTTTGACCCATCAAAATGAATGTGGTCATTTATTAACAGAATAAAAATTTAACATCAAAACATTGTACACTTGATTATTCTGATCGGCTCTGATTAATAAAACTTGGCACGTTTTACTTAATAAAAACAACAGACATTTCCTTAGATCTTAAATTAATGTCTGCAGGCTTTTAGCTTATCTTTTACTGGCAGAGAAATATAGAGATGGAGTAAAGTTTAAGAAGGGAAAGTGGATACTTAGGGTTAACTAAGATAATAAAGAAAAGATGGGGAGTTATCTTGTTTGAAACCAGATAGCATGTTTCCCGGTGATTTCAGCTAGATGGTACCCGAGCGTCGACTCTTTACCTTGGTGGGGTTTCAGAGAGGTCTTCTCCTGGCGTCCAGCAAGGCTGAGACTGTTTATCTCCAGGGATTCATATCCGCTTCTCATCAACTTGGGACCACGAGGCTGACTGGCCCAGCTTCCAAAATAAACTCCCCGAAGGATAGGGTTAAGTTAAGTGGAATTTCAGCAAACGTGCTGAACTCCTGAGATGTTGAATAGGTCTTTAGCGTGATGACCTGAATCAACACTCCAGACAGGTGTCATCTTTCAGAAAAAGACCACCGTGGACTTCACCTTCTCCAGCAGAACTCTCTGTTCTGAACTTTTGGAACTTCTGTTCTCTCTGGAACTTCTGTTCTCTCTCGGAACTTCTGTTCTCCATGGAACTTCTGTTCTCTCCCAGAACTAACTGGAACTAGGAAGTGTCGACTTTTAAAGAGTTCTGCTTCCGGTCACTTTTGGGAAGTCCTTATTGGTTGAAAGAACCAACAGGGGTGTGGTTTTAGTGACGCCAGAGGGTCACTACAAGTCAGAAAAACAGCGGAGATGTTTAGGAACAGACAGAGAAATGTTTTGGAGAAATGACAGACTTACAGGTGCCAGTTTTCTTGTTTCTGTCTGAGAGGTTTAAAAACATGACAGTTCGTTCCAATAACTTGTTTGCGACTGTCTCCGACTTTTCGACATCACACCTTTCTCATTTCAGACAGAAGATCAAAATGCATAATTACTTTGTAACATAGACATTTAACTTGATTTCTACTTTGAATGAGGATTAAAAATCATTAATACTGTTTCACAGTTGATTTAAAATGAGTGGTTCACTTCAACATTTAAAATGGTTTGAACTAAACACACTTTTGATTATCAAGACATTGTAAAATCGTAATGATAATATAAAAAAGAGAGTGTTCTTTCAATTGATTAGTTCAGGATACAATTTGAAAGTCTCTGGATGAGCTAATTTGTATTTCTGGATTCAAATCAATGAAATAACAGTTCCTGTCCCATGAAGGTCTTCAGAGGCAGGTCTTGACCGGAGGCTTAGTTCACTACAATATATAGATATATATATCTATATATATGGATATATATATACATGAGCTGTATGCCATAATCATCAGTATTAAAACAATTAAAGACCTGAAATATTTCAGTTGGTGTGCAATGAATCTGAAATATATGAAAGTTTCATTTTTATCATTACATTATGGAAAATAATGACCTTTATCACAATATGCTAATTTTTTTAGAAGGACCTGTATAATTCATTGTTTCTTCTAAAGGAAAGTGTCAGATTTTGTTGCATGTTCATCACACTGTAAATAAAGTGTGAACATCTGTATTTTATGGGATATTTGTTGCATTGTGATACAAAAAAGTGCATCTGGCTCACGCATGCGGAGCTAAACGGACGTGTTTGCACCAACCAATGAGTTCTTGTGAATGTGACGCAGAGACGGAGTGGCACGTTTGAACTGAAGCTTTCGTCAGGAGTGGAGCAGGTTTTATTAGATTTGACCCGTAGTGTTGATCCTGCTCACAAACCAGTGCAGTTTGAAAAATGAACTCTTCTCAAACCTTCAGCATGTTTTTGTTTCAGAATTCACAAACTTCCATCTTTAAACATGTTTTTTTTCTGTGTGAATAAAATGAATCAGAATTAGCTGGTTCGCTGCAGCTTGAATTAAAAGTACAAGTCTTTATTTTTATTTTTTGGTCATTAGATAATTCTATTTCTGCCTCACTGTGTTATCTTCAGGCTGGACTGCTGAGCGGGCCCCAGGTTCTGCAGGTTTCTGTCCGTATCAAAGAGCTTCTGTCTCAGCTGAGGCCCAACGCCGTGGCGCTGGTGGACGCCTTTGATTTCCACGACAAGAAGCTGAATTCTGTTCTGGGGCGCTACGATGGAAACGTCTACGAGCAAATGTTCGAATGGGCTCGTCGTTCCCCTCTCAACGCCACGGAGGTAAACATCATCGTTTGTTTATGAGTATAACTCTGTACTGGTCCACTACAGTGAAGGAATTGTTTTTGGTTGAAGAGTAGAAGATCCTAACAGTAACACAAAGACGTATCCATTACACCATGACTGAACCACAGCAGGAGCTGAAGCCTTCAAAATGATCATCTGGAGCCATAACTGAGCCTATCAGTGCAGCTGCAGCCGGATACTGTTACAGATCCGACGTGTGTTATCGTCTCCTTTCTGCCGTATCTGCCGGTTGTTTTGTTAACTGGCAACGTGTTGCAGCTACAACACACTAACAGTCGAGCTGTGATCAGAGGAAGCTCACATTTCATCGTCTCATAACAAAAGCAATTTACAAAAGATAAATCGCCAAAGAGGAAACTTTGAGGTTTGATATTTGACCGTTTTTATTTTTAATTATCAAGATGGGATCAATGATCTTTGAGTCTTTAATACTCAGGTTCCAGGAGCTGAATATAGATGTGTTTGACTGTCTAATCCAGATTAAAGCAGAAACAGACCTGCTTTGTTCCACTGAAGCTAGTGCAGATGTACACTGACTCTACCTGTCACCTTCAACGGTGACAGGTAGAGTCAGTTTAAAGGTCGTTAACTGACCTTTTACAACCCGGTCACTATCCTGCTCTATGGGAGTCCCGCAGGGTAGTATACTGGGTCCATTGCTTTTTTTTTTTTTTACTATACATAAGTTACCTTCCCAAAATATTTAATCACTCCAATATTTTTATTGTATGCTGATGATGCTGCTTTTTTCTTGTCTAGCTCAAATATCGAATCTATTAACAGTCAGCTACATGCACATCTTCAGCAATTTCATTTCTGGCTACAAGAAAATCACTTGACAATTCATGTAAAAAAAACAAAAAAGTATGTATTTTTCCTCACCTAGAAGACATTTCATTATATCAAATCATCTTACCATTTTAAACAAACCCCTTTATATTGTCACCTTATAAATATCTGGGAATTATTTTGGATTCTCATTTAACTTTTTTTTTTTCATTCAACCTTTATTTAGACAGGTAAATCCCATTGAGCCTCGAGGACTCGTTTACAAGAGAGACCTGATTCCAACAAAGAATGATGACAACAATGGACAACAGCAACAACAATAAACAGTTATAAAATGTCATACAGATTTTTTTTTTTAACAAATAGAATGGCTAAAATAAGAAAAGTTACAAAAAACAGCTAGATTCTAAGGCGAATGTAGAAAACTAAAAACAGGAACATGTCTGCATTGGTCCCTGCCAGGAGTCCAACAGATTCTTAAAGCCACTTAGAGAGGTCAAGGTCGAGAGCTTCAACTTATGACCACGTGGACTCCTTATGTACTAAGCTGAAACAAAAAATGTTTGTTTACTCCAAAATTAGATCAAATTTGACATCTTCTGTTTCAAACGCTTATCTTCATGCCATAATACTTTCAACTATGTCGTACTGTTTACCTGTCTGGTCTCTACTAATGAAACCCTGAAACCCATAGCTAGGCTCTACATTAGGGCCTATAAAATTCATAACCAACTTCCTGGCTAGACTCATCACTGTACAGCTCCTTATTCTTCAAATGCTCTAACTTTTCAAAGTTATGTTCTACACAGCAGTATTCAATTGTATTTTCAGCTCTTTCTACTTTGATGCCTAAAACCAGTGATGGAAATGGTCGCTCGACTAGGTCTGCTACAAGCGGACACTTGACCAGCCTTTAAAAACTATGGCCAGAGCTCATTTATCTGTTTATACTAAAGCATGGAAGGACATTCCTCAACATATAAAGTCTATCTCAACATGGGCATTTTTTAAGAAGACTCATGCGCGTCTTGTGTTGGACACCTTCTTTTGCCATCACCATTAGGTGTCTTCCGTGTAAATGCTCCTATTCTTGTATTTTGTAATGTGGTGTGTGTGTCTGTTAATGTGATGCTGAATATCTGTGTGTTATGTTCTGCAGAACAAGAACCTGCTGTAAAACAGCAATTATGCTGAGCCAGGCCCACTTTCTTTTAATCTTAAATAAATAAAATAAAGATGGTTGTCCTCAAGAATTTTACATCATCTCATCAGAAAATATGCTCTTTTTATTTTCCAGGTTCATGACTCCTTCCACAAGTACCTGAAGCCTCTGCGGTCCAAACTGTGAGCTCATCACTGGACTCCAACTGCTGCTTTCATTTTAACAGTAGACAAGATGGCTTTTACTTTCTGTCATTTAATGCTAACGATGAGCCCTCCCTCCTCTTATGTTAACACCCCCCACCCCCGCACACAGTAAAGTTAATCTCAGGCTTTTGAAACCTCCACAGAAGAACTAACCTGATTGATAGATTAGATTAGTGATGAGAAGTGAACATAAATCTGAGTTTTTCTTTGTTTTATGGATGGAAATCGATTACATCCATAAATAGCACATTTAAATAAAGTTTGAACTGACAGAATAACATTAAGAGTCTTGGGGGGGGGGGGGGGGGCAGCATTAATTTTTGCACAACTTTTGTTTTCCAAACAAATTGGTATAAACTTTTGTTAGAAGCTCACATTTCATCATTTCTTTACTTTCCATTGTGTGCTTGCAGATGGTTTCATCCAGCAAAATATCAAACAGAAACCACAAAATGATTAAGTATTATAAATATTATTATTGAAGACATAATGACTGATTAATGACGCTCTCCAATCACTATAGAAATTAAAATCAAATGTCACTGGATGGTGTTTTTCCTCTAGTTTCAGGTTTCTCTGTAATATTATTGAAAGAACCCCCGAGCCATAGTTGAATCAGTTTTTCACGCTCATGTGGTCCTTTTAGAATGAAATACTCAAAGCCGTGCCGTTCCATGCAGGGCGTCCCTTTGTTTACAAGCAGTCAGCTGAAATGAATACATAACATTCTCCAACAACACATCTGGATCCTGCGGGGTGAGCTGCTGTTTGTGTGCTGGGGAGCAGATTCTGCACTTTTTTACTGTAAATGTCTCAGATTGTAAGAACTGACACTTTATTTGTAAAACATGATGCTGTGTGACGAGTCCTCGCATCAGTTTGTGGTTTTACCTACTTCTGAATGTGTCTGAATGGAAGAAGACGTGTAGGACGGAGCTGCGAGGGAAAATGTGTGAAACATTGGTAACGATGGATTAACTGAGGGTGCACATGCACGGTTTAGAGCTGGTGCATTAGTTTGTTTAGCTTCATTTTGTAACTCTTGTTTTTAATTAACTCTGTTTCTGAATACAAATTTTGAATAAATACGTTTTGATGTCTAGTTTTTACTGTCTTAATAATGCAACATGAAATATGCCTGCACGCTGTGTACTGTGTGTAGATTGTACACTGTTTTTAAATTAATGCGTACGTTGTTTTATAACTAAAGTTACTGAAAACGGTTTGGAAACGTCTTTAAAAACTGACATGGAGAACAGAAACCGGTTGATATTTAATGAAAATAAATCAACCGCCCACACGTATTTGTGTAGCCTTCTGATGTTTTGCACCTTCACAGATCACAAGAGGGAGTTTTATTCTGAAGACTCTGTAAAATGTAAAATGTTTTCTAAAGAGAAGATTTTCCTGAGGCGTTTAATTTTTTTCTAATTTAACAAGAGTTTTCATGTCTGTATAAAACATGCAATATAAGTAGGAAAGGTTATTGTTAGACTCAGCATATTTTTTTTAGGAATTTGTCAGCATTTTCTTGAATAATTAGATTTTAAGCGTGATTTCAATGTCTGTTAAATAATCCGATCAGATAAATATAAATTAAATAAAAAGTGGTGTTTTCACGTAGTTTACCACCTTTATAACAAGGTGAAGTCAGGTCTGGACAGATTCTTCTTGTTGAAACGTTCCGTCTTTTGTCCAAAAGTAGAATCCGTTCAGACCTGACAACCTTGTTAGATTTATCTACCCGGATCATTAAATGCATCCGGATAACTTGATTTTAGTTTGAAAATGGTCCCAGAAGATTTATTTTCTAATTCCTAAACAGTTCCCTGAAACAGTATTTCAACTTTTCCAGTTTGTCACGTCAACACATTTCCAAGTATTTTACAGGTTTTTATTTTCTGTGATTAGCCAACACAAAGGAGCACATGACTGAAGTAGAAGGACAATACTAGAAGTTTAAAAGTGGCATGTATTACTTTGGACAGACAGTTGTTGCTGTAAATGAAGCTGAAGGTTTTGGATTTGCACATCTAGACTGAAATTGTTGCCCATTCTTCTGTGCAAACAGTTCAGATTGGACAGAGAACTTCTGTGAGCAGTGTAGATGAACAGATGCAGAGATATATTCATCAATTAAAACGGATTC